GTCTGCTTTTTCTGGACTTTATATAGTACAATGATAATTTGAGGCCGACTATAATTTAGTGTTTAAAGGAAGCAATAGTTTTACAGATGTACATTTATCCTCTGAACTTACAAACATTTAAACAATATGCATGAGTGATAGAAAACAGGTGTGCTGGCACAAAAGTGCAGCTGTAATGTAGCATATTGTCAAGTATTAAATTCATTTGCAGACCCTTATAATTTCTTTTAGTATAAGTTAACATTAAAGTCACAAAATAACTGTTATTTGACAAAAAAAGGGAAATGTAAATTATTCTGGATGTATTTTTTTTTTTAAGGATCCACACCAGCACCACTATCTGAAAACTATGGTGTTTATGCTTAAATTGAGTATTTATTCCATTCCTTTGAGACATTATTGGCTGGCTGTCTCTGCTTTGGAGAATGGATAAATTGGTTTTAGCTCCAGTCTGGTGGTTAGATCTGAAACCTAGGCCAGATAGTTATACTAATGTCTTTAATTATGTGGTTTTTAAAATTCTGTTTATGTCCTGTGAGGAATTAATGTAATTATCATTTAGAGTTGGTTTCTTTTCTCTCTCTCTCTCTCTCTCTCTCTCTCTCTCTCTCTCTCTCTCTGTTGTTGTTGCTGTTGCATGGGACACTTCAATCTAAGCAAGGAGAGGTTTTCAGGGTGCTTAACTTGGCTTTGGTTTGAAAATGTGTCCTTGAAACTTTTAGCTCCCAGACAGATTTTGATAGCAGCCATTTGGGTTGGCAGAAGAACCAACTTGGGTATAAGAGTCAAGCAGAGTTTGAATCTGAGTTCTTCTACCTATAGGCTGAAAGACTGGGACAAATAGTTGGGGCTGTTGTGCTTAGTTTTCTACACTTGCAAACTGGACATAATAATAGCTTCCTGACAGGGTTGAAAAAAAGTCTAAATGATTTGTACGTGACAGTTCCTCTTATGCAGGATATGGCTCATGAATTTAGTTTTCTTTCCATGTTGGTGGGGAGGGGTATACAGGCATTATTTTGCATTTCATTTTCTACTGGATGTCTATGAATATGTATTGGTGTGTCCACCTCATTATTACTGTTCAACACCATAAAGAAGATTAGCACATCAGTTATTTCTTTCAGTAACCAACCACAAACTATGAACTTCTGTTTTATGAATACTTTACATCTGAACCCCTCAAGGAGCTGTGATGTAGCTATTTGCAACTGCTGGGAAAGGAGGAGGACTCTGCCTTCACTGCTGCCACCATAGGACATGTGCTTCTGCTTTTTAAAGTTCTGTCCTGGAATATTAAAAAGCCAGCTTTGAATGAACTGTTCTACAATATTAAGTACCATTTATAATATTATTGCCATGGAATATACAAGGGGAAAGGCAAGGCAGAGGAGCCATGGCACACAGGCTCATGCATAGAGAAAAATCATGAGATTAGGGTGAAAGTAAGTAACACAAGAAATAATTGTTAATATTTCTTGAACTGTCCTGTGTGTTAGACACTAAAGGCTGCAAATACGTTACTATTTGCATTATCCTAAGCAACCCCATAAGGTAGGTTGTGATTCTAATTCAAGTGGTGCATCATCAGAACCACAGCTTTTAGCCCTTTGCTACCACTGCCTTCACCAATAAACCCAGCGCAGTTACATGAAGGTACAACGAGGAAGCAACAAAATTAATTGAATATGATGTTTGGAAAGGAAGAGGGAGGGAAAACAGTGGGAGTGGAATTTATCTTCCTCCATCATGTTAGAGTGGTAAAAACATTGTCTAAAATGAGTATGTCATGATACAGCAGGATAAGCATAACGTTTAGAATTGTGGGGGTGACATCAAAGTAGCAAGAAACTGACTCTGGAGAGGGGACCTTGAGGGAGAAGGGCTGCATTTCACTATCATTCAAGTTGCTGTTAGGCTCAGGTATTCTTTTCATAAAAATAAAATGTCTATATAGAAATTGCTTCTACTGCATAAGTGCATCAAAGCATGATATTCAAAATCATCTTTACCTCTACCACATATTTGTTAAATATTTAACAAATATTATTCAGGGTATTACTTTTAGCTTGAAGGCTTAAAAAAAAAAAAGTCAAGAAGTAGGAATTTTTAAAAGTTGTCCCTGGTAACATTACCAGACAGGGCTGAGAGAGGGTGCAGGACTATTAGAAGCAAACTGGATTTCAACCCTGCTTCTGAGAGGCAGTTCTGACTACAAAGGGTAGGCAATTCTTTGCAGCCAGGGAGCAGGAGCTTTGATCCTCTGGAACTGTAATAAACAACTTAGAGTAAATGAATCAGGCAGCAGGGTGCCTGGAGGGGTCCAGCAGCCTCTGTGTGCTGGTGCTCTTTGTTTTTACAGGGCTGATCTCATAAATGTTGCACTAGGCTCAGTGCTGTGCATTTTTAAGCTCAGTTATCATATTTTTCCACGTGTTTACTTCATAAAAGTAGGCACTTTTATGCTCCTGTTAAAATGGGATCTCCTATTTGAATTGCCTGCTGAAGGCAAGGAAAGCACTATTGCCTAAGGAGCTCATTAGCATGCATATATATGCATATGCCCTATCTCCATCCTATCTCTATCTGTATATCTACTTACTTACCTACCTACCTACCTACCTACCTATCATCTGTGCATCTATCCTTATTTATAGAATAACAAGAACATGGGTTATAAGTTACTTCCTTATCTTAGCCTTCCCAAAATCTTGCAACATAAATAGGCCACGGAGAAAGCACTGAGTTCCTGGAGACGCTTGAAGGTTGGTCTACCATTTGTCATCGCACAGCCAATAAATGGTGCAGAGTATTCAACCCAAATCTTCTCTTTCCTCCCTCTGCTGACCTTTGCCAGCCACCCAAATTAGTTTATAACTGCTCCCTGAGGGTATCCGGTACCCCTCTTATGGGTCTTTGCAGTGATTATTCCAATTATTTAAAATGCTTTTCCTTCAGATATTTGATTCATTCACCTCCCTCCAGTCTCTCAAATCCCACTTTCTAGTGAGGCTTATCCTGTCCACTGTTAAAATTGAAAGCTGTGTTTCTCTCTGCCTACAGCGTCACTGCTCGTATCCAACTTTGGTTTCCATAGGAGATGTAAATGACTATCCTAGCAGAAAATTTACACGCATGTATTTTTCTCCCCTCCAACTAGAAGGTAAGCCGCACAGGTCAGGAATTTTGCCTTTATTAAGTCTAGTGGGGATCCAGAACAGTCAGAACTGGGCACAATGGTGACACAGGTGATTTGATATTTTAGTGATTTAGATCAGAGCTGGGCTGATTATTGAAAAGGACCTGTTCTAGTGCGCTTAAGCAGCACAATAAATTCTAAGTCAACCGAAATTTCTAACACACACAGACAGAGCAGGCATGTATGTGCTCTCTTTCCATTTGTTTCTCCGGGCTCAAATCTGTCTTCTCTGGGTGAAGTGGGAACACGTAAGGAAGACTGGCCTAAGTCTAAACTAAGAAGGCACCCAAGAAAACACTTAGTTTTAGAAAACTAAAATCATAGGGTGGTTTCCTTTCACTCATCAAGGGTTATTCAACCTCTATTGAGGTCAGAGTCGGGGAGAGGAGAGCGAAGCACAGAGGGTGGAGGCAAGGACGAGTCACCTCATCTCTCCCTCCTTTGGACCTTCCTTCCTCCTGGATTCCCATCCCTTACACTCAAAATGCAGATTTCAGGGGTCTGTGCGTGCAGCCAGAACCTGTGGCTACTTCCACATTCCAGTCACTGAGACACAGAAAATTTGGCACAAACTCTGGTTCAACCCACCACACCCACATAGGTTAATTCTTTCTCTACTGCCGAGACAAAAAGACACACGAGCAAAGGCAGATTAGTAAGAACAAAGTTTTATAGAGGTAGAAGTATATCTACGTAATCTGGGAACGATAAGAGCCCATTGAGGCTCCGATACAGCAAAATCCATTTACTATGACACAGAATATGTGGGGGAATATCTGTTCCGTAGAGGTTGAGATTCATGACAAAAGAAAGGAACCAGTTGGTGGCGGCTCCTAGGCAGGTTATGAAGGTACCCTAGCCATGCGCAGAGCACAGAACAGTGGACCAAGAACTTGCACCCACAGTGCTGGCTCACCAAAGTCAGAGGGGTGCCCTGACCAGGGGCAGGTCCACGTGTTCCAAGAGTGGAGATTTCTCCCTAAAAGGCATGGCGGTATCCGCCATTGCACCATCAGTGCTGTGGTTTGCAGGGGTTCTGTGTGCTCTGTAGGAATGGGGGACCATTATGATGTCCAGTCGCAGTAGGTACGGTGCTGTTCCCGGTAGCACCAGGTGCCTTAGACACAGGTAGGCCCCCAGGGTTCTGAGGGCGGTTGCTGATACAGAGGGCTGCCATCATAGACACGATGGTGTTTTCATCTGTGTTTGCATCAGGTGGGCCCCCATGATGCTGACATAAAGCAGGAATTCCAGGTCTTCCAGTCTTGGGAGTGATGTTGTTCCCCGCCTTCACACCACTTCCATGCTGGGCAGGTGGGCCCCGGGTGCCTGGCGGGAAGGTAGAACTAGAAGTGCATCGAAGCACTGAGATCTCGGTGCTGCTTCTTGCAACTAAAAGTGAGGTCGTGTGGCCAGGCAAGGCCCTGGTGCTCTGTAAGAGGGAAACACGCACGACCTTTGACACAAAGACCTTTGTGGTGGTGGCGTTTCCACACGGAGAAGTGCTGTGGCTTGGGGGGGTTCCTTCCCCGGATTTTGTTCGTCCTAGTGACCCTTTGGGACATGTCTGGGCAATGGGCACACTAGCGCCTCCAACAGGGGGAATGGTGCTGTTTCCCATCACAGTGCTGCCTGTGATTTGGGCAGGTGGGCCCCTGGTGCCTGGACTTAATGTGGCACTAGAAGCATGTCCCATTACTGGGACAGTACTTGCCCTTCCTGTAGCAGCAGCTGGAATCCATGCGATGGACTGGAGGCTATCTGACCAAGAGGACGAGCGGAGGGGTGCTGGATGTCCCCTTCAGTCCAGCTCCAACGTTGAATGCTCCTGACGCCTGTGAGCGAATGGAATCTGGCATGGGCACATTAAGCCCATCCATGGGGATTGCAGGTCCCACAAAGGTCTGTGGGCCTGTAGTGGTGGCCGTGACTGATAAGCCACTGGGACTGCTAGCCCCACGAAGGTCTGAGGGCCTGTGGTGGTAGCCGTGAGTGGTGAGCCACTAAGGACTATAGGCCCCACAATCATCTGTGGGCCTGTGCTGGTAGTCAGGAGTAGTGATGCCCTGGGGAGTGCAGGCCCCACAAAGGTCTGAGGGGCTGCAGTGGTATCCCTGAGTGGTGAGCCACTGAGGACTGTAAGCCCCACAAACGTCTGTGGGCCTGTAGTGGTAGCCGTGACTGGTAAGCCACTGGGGACTGCAGGCCCCACGACAGTCTGTGGGCCTGTAGTGGTACCTGTAACTGGTGAGCTACTGTTCCCAGTGCTAGGGATCCCAGTGGTACCTGAAAGCCAGTCGTGGTAGAATGAGGAGTGTGGAGAACACCTGGCTGGTTACCAAGGGCCGTCTGCTTGTTGACAGTGGTGCCAAAAGGAGGCCCGCAAACCCCGATTGCATTGTGGTCCCTCCGGGTGGCTGAGTTATAGGAGTGGCCAGGCCGATAGCCTGTGTTGGGGCAACTGTTTTTCCTATCAGGTAGCAATTGTTAGGCTGTTGCCCATTGTGACCTCCAATTGTGGGCTGAGAGGTGATTCCTGGGTTAGGATGCAGCGAAACGGGGGTGTTTGATGGCTGACTTTTGAGGGAAACTGGTAGATCCATGGGCCAAGGCAGTGCTGCTGGTAGGTGGTGTGTTGCCAGAACCAGGAAGCGCCCTGTACAGTGGGAGCAGTTCTTCTGGGACCCAGGGGGTTACTGAAAGATGACAGCCCAGGAGGGAGATGTGGTATCCATGGCATCGGGGTCAGAGTGAAGGGCGATTCCTGGGTTAGGATGCATCGAAACCGAGGCCTGTATGATGGCTGACTTTTGAGGGAAACTGGTAGAGCCATGGGCCAAGGCAGTGCTGCTACCAGGTGGTGTGTTGCCAGAACCAGGGAGTGCCCTGTACAGTGGCAAGCGGTTCTTCTGGGACCCAGGGGGGGTCTGGAAGATGACAGCCCGGGAGGGAGATGTGGTATCCATGGCGTCGGGGTCAGAGTGAGGGGCGATTCCTGGGTTAGGATGCATCGAAACGGAGGCCTGTATGATGGCTGACTTTTGAGGGAAAATGGTAGAGCCATGGGCCAAGGCAGTGCTGCTACCGGGTGGTGTGTTGCCAGAACCAGGAAGCGCCCTGTAAAGGGGCAAGTGGTTCTTCTGGGACCCAGGGGGGTCTGGAAGATGACAGCCCGGGAGGGTGATGTGGTATCCATGGCATCGGGGTCAGATTGAGGGGCGATTCCTGGGTTAGGATGCATCCAAACGGAGGCCTGTATGATGGCTGACTTTTGAGGGAAAATGGTAGAGCCATGGGCCAAGGCAGTACTGCTACCGGGTGGTGTGTTGCCAGAACCAGGAAGCGCCCTGTACAGTGGCAAGCGGTTCTTCTGGGACCCAGGGGGGGTCTGGAAGATGACAGCCCGGGAGGGAGATGTGGTATCCATGGCATCGGGGTCAGAGTGAGGGGCGATTCCTGGGTTAGGATGCATCGAAACCGAGGCCTGTATGATGGCTGACTTTTGAGGGAAAATGGTAGAGCCATGGGCCAAGGCAGTACTGCTACCGGGTGGTGTGTTGCCAGAACCAGGAAGCGCCCTGTACAGTGGCAAGCGGTTCTTCTGGGACCCAGGGGGGGTCTGGAAGATGACAGCCCGGGAGGGAGATGTGGTATCCATGGCCTCGGCGTCAGAGTGAGGGGCGATTCCTGGGTTAGGATGCATCCAAACGGAGGCCTGTATGATGGCTGACTTTTGAGGTAAAGTGGTAGAGCCATGGGCCAAGGCAGTGCTGCTACCGGGTGGTGTGTTGCCAGAACCAGGAAGCGCCCTGTACAGTGGCAAGCGGTTCTTCTGGGACCCAGGGGGGTCTGGAAGATGACAGCCCGGGAGGGAGATGTGGTATCCATGGCCTCGGCGTCAGAGTGAGGTTTGGGGTTTGCAGAGGTGCTGCCTACTGGAGTGGTGGTGGCCCCAGAACTCAGGTTGGGCAAGCCAGTGGCGATAGGAGCACTGGGAAGAACAGCTGTTTGATGTCTCCCAGCAAGAGTCCCATGTGTGGGCTGAGGGGTGATGTGGAGGCTGAAGAGTTGATCAGCAAGTGGGGTGGGGCCGGGGGCCATCGACGTAGGTAGACTGGTGGATGCTGCAACTTTCGCAGGGCATCTCTGCTTCATACTGCAGTGGCCCCGGGAAAACGGAGGACAGCTCATCCCGGAGTGTGGGGGCGAGCTGAAGATGACAGCCCGGGAAGGGGACGTAGTGTCCATGTCCACGACACCAGGATTGGAAATAGGCTTGGAGGTCAAAGCAGATGACTTTGCTGCGGTGGGAGAAGAAGTCGGTTTAGAGGTGCCGGGCTGGACTGCAACGACAGAGCTATGTGTGGAGTGGCCTGGGAGAGGGGCTGTCAGGAAGAGAGGGGGAGAGTCTACACACATGGGGGTTGGGGATTCTTTTGTGCAGGAGGGTGGGTGTAAGGAGGTTGAGGTGTTGGAAGGTGTGGGGCGGTCAGAGGTGGGTGTCGTAGCCCTGCCTGGGGGAGGAGGACCTCCGCCAAGTGGAGTTTCCCTAATGGGACTGGAAGGAAGGGGAGGAAGAGAATCGGCGGGAACAGCCAGGGGAGGAGATTCAGGAACTCCATGTCCTGTTTCCCGACCAGCATGTCGTGTTGGGGACGACGGCGGGACAGAGAGGATCGGGGGCCTGGCAGAAGGGCCAGCCAAGTCGGTGGGAGGAACAGGGCCGTGGGCAGCGTGAGCGGCCAGGGGCGGGGAGCCTGCAGTCTCCGAGGCCAGTGGGGGGGAGGAGGGGGCAGGCTGAGCGGCCCTGCAGTCTGCCAAGGTCTTTGTTCTGTCCTTCAAGGTCGTGTTCCTGGGACACTCGGTGTTCGGCAAGGTGCCTGGGTCCTTGTCAAGAGCCACGCAAGGAAGCTTCGGGGGTGCGGGCAAGTCCCCTCGATCCCACAGCAGCGGTAGTGGTGGCGGCAATGGCAGACAGAGGGGCATGGCCATTTTCCTCTTGTTCTGCCTCCTGCTGGCAGGTGCTGGTGGGAGAGGGCTCCGTGGCGACACGCCCGAGGGCTTCTCAGCCTGCGTGTCCTTCCTCGCTCCGGCCCGCGTGCTCTGCCCAGGCTGATGGTCTTCAGCCACCGCCGCCTGTGTGCACGTCTCCTGCGGCAAGGGGCGGCATGCGGTTGGGCCCCAGAGCACTGCCGCATCCCTGTCGGCCTTCGCGAGGGCATCTCCCACGGGGCCACATGAAGAGGTGGCAACGCGGCCTTCAGAGGAGGACACGGGAGCCATCTGGGTGCTGTCCCACGAGCTCCCTCCGGAGGGCACGAGACGGCGGTCCAGAGTTGCAGGGCTGGCTTGGTGGAGGCGGAGAACGCCACTGGTGTCCGGGGGCTCAGATGTCAGGGGTGTCCCCCCACTGCTCTGGGGGCGGCCACTCCCACCAAGAGCCTCGGTCTGTTCTCCGGGGTGCTCTGGGACCTTCTCCTCCACCCCCTGTGGGCTGCAAAGGGGGAGGGGAGGGGATGGTACCTGACTCGCAGCCTTGGCTTCCTGTGCAGGTAGGGAATGCAGGAGCCGGAACCTGCGCCCCAGAGCAGGGATCCTCACAGTCCTCGAGGGCCCGCACCCCAGGGAACTGCGCGCAGCCAGCACAGGTTGACCCGGAGGGTTCCTCCAGTTCACCACGGCGAGGAGGCCCAGAGGGGGGCACGCGGCCTGGGGGAGCGGGTACCGCCTCCTGGGCTCCACGTGGCAGCGAGCTGGTGGGGGCCTGCGATCCCGGAGGAATGGCCTGCGCCCAGAGCAGGGGGCAGGTGCAGGAACGGCGGGGTGGTCGCGGCCAGGATGGGCGGTGTCCCAGGCAGGGGTGAGCAGCGGGCGACCGCGGCCGGGCAGGGGCCGGCGGCGGGGAGGGCGAAGAAACCTACAAAGCAGGCTGCCCATTTAGGGCTACTGTGCGCGAGAGTCGCGAGGTCGGAGCGCCGGGCCTGGGGGAGGGTCTCCGAGGCGCCTGGCTCCTCTCCAGGGGCAGCACAGCTGAGCCGCTGAGCCCTGCGCCCAGCCATTGTGAGGTGTCCCTGGAACACCTCCGGGAGCCCGCCACTCCGGGGGGCCCCTCCGCGGGCAGGCAGTGGGCGGGGCCTGGGGCCGCGCCCCCAGCAGCAGCCCAGGTGGGCGGGGCCACCGGGGCGGGGCGGGGCGGGGCGGGGGGGCGGAGGCGGTTGAGCACCAGCCTGGCAACCGCCAGCGTGGGGGAGGGGCGCGGCCTGGGCCTGCAGCGGCCAGGCCCGGAGCACTCAGCCCCGAGGCTGTGCGTGGCCCCCCTTCCCTGGGGAAGCCGAGGAAGGCGAGCTCAGGAGCCCCCCAAGGCCCAGAGGCGGTGAGGGGCCTGCTTCCCCGAGGGCCTGCCCTGCAGCCCTGCTGCCCTGCAGCCAAGCCACCCTGCTCCCCTGCAGCCCTGCTGCCCTGCTGCCCGGCAGCCATGCCAACCAGCTGCCCTGCGAGGCCTGCAGCCCTGCCTCCCTGGGAGGCCTGGAGCCCTCCTGCCCTGCTGCCCTGCAGCCCTGACGCCCGGAGAGGCCTGCAGCCCTGACGCCCTGGGAGGCTTGAAGCTTTGCCGCCCTTTGCCCTGAAGCCCGGTGGCCCTGCGAGGCCTACAGCCGTGGCGCCCTGCAGCCCTACAGCCCTGCCGCACGCGGAGACCTGCAGCCCTACTGCCCGGCTGCCCTGCAGTCCTGCTGCCCTGAGAGGCCTGCATCACTGCTGCCCTGCTGTCCTGCTGCCCTGCTGCCCTGTAGCCCTGCCGCCCTGCGAAGCCTGCAGCCTTGTTGCCCTGGGAAGCCTGCAACCCTGCGGCCATGCCATTCCTGCAGCCCTGCCTCCCTGCTGCCTGTAGCCCTGCTGCCCTGCTCTGATGCCCTGCTACCCTGGCTCCCTGCTGCCCTGCTTCCCTGACGCTCTGAGAGGCCTGAAGGCCCCGGTGCCTGGCGGCAAGGTAGAACTAGAAGTGCATCGCAGCACTGAGATCTCGGTGCTGCTTCTTGCAACTAAAAGTGAGGTCGTGTGGCCAGGCAAGGCCCTGGTGCTCTGTAAGAGGGAAACACGCACGACCTTTGACACACAGACCTTTGTGGTGGTGGCGTTTCCACACGGAGAAGTGCTGTGGCTTGGGGGGGTTCCTTCCCCGGATTTTGTTCGTCCCAGTGACCCTTGGGGACACGTATTGGCAGTGGGCGCACTAGCGCCTCCAACAGGGGGAATGGTGCTGTTTCCCATCACAGTACCACCTGTGATTTGGGCAAGTGGGCCCCAGGTGTCTGGATGGAAAGTGGCACTAGAAGCATGTCCCATTACTGGGACAGTACTTGCCCTTCCTGTAGCAGCAGCTGGACTTCCATGCGATGGACTGGAGGCTATCTGACCAAGAGGACGAGCGGAAGGGGTGCTGGATGTCCCCTTCAGTCCAGCTCCAACGTTGAATGCTCCAGAGGCCTGTGAGCGAATGGAACCTGGCATGGGCACATTAAGCCCATCCATGGGGATTGCAGGTCCCACAAACGTCTGTGAGCTTGTCGTAGTAGCCATCAGTGGTGGGCCATTGAGGACGGCAGGCCCCACCAAGGTCTGTGGGCCTGTAGGAGTAGCTGTAAATGGTGAGCCATTGAGGACGGCAGGCCCCACCAGGTCTGTGGGCCTGTAGTGGTACCTGTAACTTGTGGGCTAGTGTTCCCAGTGCTAGGGATCCCACTGGGACCTCCAAAGCCAGTCGTGGTAAAATGAGGAGTGTGGAGAATACCTGGCTGGTTACCGAAGGCCGTCTGCTTGTTGACAGTGGTGCCAACAGGAGAGCCCGCAAACCCCGACTGCATTGTGCTGCCTTGCAGTCCTGCCGCCCTGAGGGTCCTGCAGCCCTGCCGCCCTCTGAGGCCTGCAGCCCTCCCTCCCTGCTGCCCTGCACCCTGGCAGCCCTGTGAGGCCGGCAGACCTGTCTCCCTGCTGCCCTGCCACCCTTCGATGCCTGCTGCCCTGCAGCATTGGGAGGCGTGCAGCTCTGCCACCCTGCTGCCCTGGTACCCTGCCTGGTGCCATGCAGCCCTGCCACCCTGTGAGCCCTATAGCCCTGCCGCCCTGCCGCCCTGGGAAGCCTGGAGCCTTGTTGCCCTGGGAGGCCTGCAGCCCTGGCTCCCTGCTTCCCTGCAGCCCTGACACCGTGAGAGGCCTGCAGGCCTGCGAGGCCTGGAGCACCGCTGCCCTGAAGGAAGCCCTGGAACCCTGGGAGGCCTGAAGCACTGCCGCCCTGCTGCCCTGCATCCCTGCCAACCTGCTGCCCCGCAGCCAAGCCAACCTGCTCCCCTGCAGCCCTGCTGCCCTGCTGCCCGACAGCCATGCCAACCAGCTGCCCTGCGAGGCCTGCAGCCCTGCCTCCCTGGGAGGCTTGCAGCCCCGTGGCTCTCGGAGGTCTATAGTCCTCCCGCCCTGGTGCCCTGCAGCCCTGTCACCTGGGAGGCCTGCAGTTCTGACGCCTGTTGCTCTACAGCCCTGCTGCCCTACGAGGACTGCAGCCCTGCCACTCTGTTGCCCTGCCACCCGGCTACCCTTGGAGGACTAAAGCCCTGCAGCCCCGCCACACTGGGAGGCATGCAGCCCTGCCGTCTGTTGCCCTGCAGACCTGTCGCCCTGCTTCCCTGCATTTTTGCCGTCCTGTGAGGCCTGTACCCCGCCACCCTGGGAGCCTGTAGCCCTGCTGGCCTGCTGCCCTGTATCCGTGCTGCCCTGGTGCCCTGCAGCCCTGCCGCTGTGCCATACCTGCAGCCCTGCTGCCCTGGGAGGCCTGAAGCCCTGTCGCCCTGGGAGGCTTGCAGCATTGCCGCCCTGTTGCCCTGAAGCCTGGCCGCCTTCTGAGGCCCGCAGCCCTGCTCCCCTGCTGCCCTGCCGCTCTTCCATTCCTGTAGCCCTGCAGCCCAACGAGGACTGCAGCCCCGCCGCCCTGCTGCCCTGCCGCTCTGCCACCCTTGGAGGCCTAACGTCCTGTAGCTCTGCCACACTGGGAGGCCTGTATCACAGCCGCCCTGTTCCCCTACAGCACTGCTGCCCTTCGAGTCTTGTAGCCCTGCCACCCTGCTGCCCTGCCACCCTTCGATGCCTGCAGCCCTGCTTCCCTGGGAGGCATGCAGCTCTGCCACCCTGCTGCCCTGCTACCCTGCCTAATGCCATGCAGCCCTGCCACCCTGTGAGGCCTGCAGCCCTGCCGCCCTGTGAGGCCTGCAGGCCTACCAACCTGGGAGGCCTGCAATACTCCTGCCCTGGTGCCCTGCAGCCCTGTCATTCTGGGAGGCCTGCAGTCCTGACAGCCTGTTGCTCTAAAGCCCTGCTGCCCTTTGAGGACTGCAGCCCTGCCACTCTGTTGCCCTGCGACCCTGCTGCCCTGGGAGGCCTGCAGCCCTGCCACCCTGCTGCCCTGTTGCTCTGCTGCCCTTGGAGGCCTAAAATCCTACAGCCCCGCCAATCTGGGAGGCATGGAGCCCTTCCCTCTGCTGCCCGGCAGACCTACCGCCCTGCTTCCCTGCAGCCTTGCCGTCCCGTGAGACCTGCACCCCGCCGCCGTGGGGGCCAACAGCCCTGCCGCCCTGTTGACCTGCTGCACTGTAGCCCTGCTGCCCTGGAAGGGCTGTAGCCCTGCCGCCCTTCGATGCCTGCAGTCCTGCAGCCCTGGGAGGAATGCAGCTCTACCACCCTGCTGCCCTGCTAACCTGCCTGATGCCTGGCAGCCCTGCCACCCTGTGAGGCCTGCAGGCCTAGTGCCCTGGGAGCCCTGCAGCACTGCCGCCCTGGGAGTCCTGTAGCCCTGCCGCCCCCAGGGAGGCGCGCAGCCCTGCCACACTAGGAGGCCTGGAGTCCTACTGCCCGGCGTCTGTGCCACCCCGACGCCCTGTTGCTCTACAGCCCTGCTGCCCTACGAGGACTGCATCCCTGCCACTCTATTGTGCTGCCACCCGGCTACCCTGGGAGGCCTGCAGCCCTGCCGCCCTGCTGCCCTGCCACTCTGCCACACTTGGAGGACTAACGGCCTGCAGCCCTGCCACACTGGGAGGCTTGCAGCTCTGCCGCCCTGCACCCTGAGCCCTGCAGCCCTGCCAGGCCTGTAGCACTGCTGATCAGCTGCCCTGCATCCCTGCCGCCCTGCTGCCCCGCAGTCGTGGTGCCCTGGGGGGCTCGAAGCCCTGCCACCCTTTCGCCCGGCCTCCGTGCCGCCCTGACCCCGTGCCGCCCTGCAGCTCTGCTGACCTGCTGCCCTGCAGTCCTGCTGCCCTGCAGCCCTCCTGACCTGCTGCCCTGCAGTCCTGAAACCCTGTGAGGCTTGCAGCCCTACTGCCCAGTTGCCCTACAGTCCTGCCGCCTTAGGAGGCCTGCATCCCTGCCGCCCTGCTGCCCTGCACCCCGGCTTCCCTGAGAGGCCTGCAGCCCTGCCACCCTGGGAGGCTTGCAGCATTGCCGCCCTGTTGCCCTGAAGCCTGGCGTCCCTGCGAGGCCTACAGCCCTGGCGCCCTGCTGCCCTGAACCCCGGATGCCCTGTGAGGCTGGCAGACCTGCCGCCCTGCTGTCCTGCCGTCCTTCGATACCTGCAGCCCTGCTGCCCTGGGAGTCCTGCAGCCCTGCCGCTCCCAGGAAGGTGCGCAGCCCTGCCACACTAGGAGGCCTGGAGCCCTCCTGCCCTGCTGCCCTGAAGCCCTGCCGCCCTGCGAAGCCTGGAGCCTTGTTGCCCTGAGAGGCCTGCAGCCCTGCCGCCCTGGGAGGCTTGCAGTTTTGCCGCCCTTTGCCCTGAAGCCAGGCGGCCCTGTGAGGTCCGCATCCCTGCCGCCCTGCACCCTGAGCCCTGAAGCCCTGGGAGGCCTGTAGCACTGCTGCTCTGAAGCCCTGGAGCCCTGGGAGGCCTGAAGGACTGCCCCACTGCTGCCCTGCATCCCTGCTGACCTGCTGCCCCGCAGTCGTGATGCCCTGGGAGGCTTGAAGCCCTGCCACCCTGCTGCACGGCCTCCGTGCCGGCCTGATGCCCTGCTGCTCTGCAGCCCTGCCGACCTGCTCCCTTGCGGTCCTGCCGCCCTGCAGCCCTCCCGACCTGCTACCCTGCAGTCCTAATGCCCTGCGAGGCTTGCATCCCTGCTGCCCAGTTGCCCTGCAGACCTGCCACCTTGGGAGGCTTGCAGCATTGCCGCCCTGTTGCCCTGACGCCTGGCGTCCATGGGAGGCCTACAGCCCTGGCGCCCTGCTGCCCTGCACCCCGGCCGACCTGTGAGGCTGGCAGACCTGCCACACTGCTACCCTGCCCCCCTGAGAGAGGTGCAGCCGTGCCGCCCTCGGAGGCATGCAGCCCTGCCAGGCTGCTGCCCTGCACCCCGGTTGCCCTGTGAGGCCAGCACCTGCTGCCCTCCTGCCCTGCCACCCTTCGATGCCTGCAGCCCTGCTACCCTGAGAGTCATGCAGCCCTGCGACCCTGCTGCCCTGCTACCCTGCCTGGTGCCATGCAGCCCTGCTGCCCTGGGAGGCCCGCAGGCCTACCAACCTGGGAGGCCTGCAGTCCTCCCGCCCTGGTGCCCTGCAGCCCTGTCATCCTGGGAGGCCTGCAGTCCCGACGCCCTGTTGCTCTAAAGCCCTGCTGCCCTACGAGGACTGCAGCCCTGCCACTCTGTTGCCCTATTGCTCTGCCCCCCTTGGAGGCCTAAAATCCTGTAGCCCCGCCAAACATGGAGGCATGGAGCCCTGCCGCCCTGCTGACCTGCAGCCCTGCCGCCCTGAGGGCCTGTAGCCCTGCTGCCCTGCAGCCCTGCCGCGGTACCACACTTGTAGCCCTGCTGCCCACGGAGGCCTTGAGCCCTGCCACCGTGGAAGGCTTGCAGCATTGCCGCCCTGTTGCCCTGAAGCCTGGCAGCCTTGTGAGGCCCGCAGCCCTGCTACCCTGCTGCCCTGCAGCTCTTCGAGGCCTGCAGCCCTGCTGCCCGACGACGATTGCAGCCCTGCCACTCTGTTGCCTTGCCACCCGGCCGCCATGCGAGGCCTGCAGCCCTGCCACCCTGCTGCCCTGCCGTCCTTCCATGCCTGCAGCCCTGCTACTCTGGGAGGCCTGCAGCTCTGCCACCCTGCTGCCCTGCTACCCTGCCTGATGCCAGGCAGCCCTGCCGCCCTGTGAGGCCTGCAGGCCTTGACCCTGGGAGCCCTGCAGCCTTGCCATCCTGTTAGGCCTGCACCCCAACGTCCTGGGAGGCCCGCACCCCTGCCACACTGGGAGGCTTGCAGTCCTGCCACCCTGTTGCCCTACAGCCCTGCTTCCCTACGAGGACTGCAGCCCTGCCACTCTGTTGCCCTGCTCCCCGGCCGCCCTGTGAGACCTCAGCCCTGCCACCCTGGGAGGCCTTCATTACTGCCGCCCTGTTCCCCTACAGCCCTCCTGCCCTTCGAGGCTTGTAGCCCTGCAACCCTGCTGGCCTACCCCCTGCGAGGTCTGCAGCCCTGCCTCCCTGCTGCCCTGCACCCCGGCCGCCCTGTGAGGCCGGCAGACCTACCGCCCTGCTGCCCGGCCGCCCTTCGATGTCTGAAGCCCTGCTGCCCTGGGAGGTATGCAGCTCTGCCTCCCTGCTGCCCTGCTACCCTGCCTGGTGCCATGCAGCTCTGCCGCCCTGTGAGGCCTGCAGGCCTACCGACCTGGGGGGCCTGCAGCACTGCCACCCTGGGAGTCCTGTAGCCCTGCCGCCCTTGGAGGCCGGCAGCCCTGCTGCACTAGGAGGCTTGGAGCCCTCATGCCCTGCTGCCCTGTAGCCCTGCTGACCTGCTGCCCTGCAGTCGTGATGCCCTGGGAAGCTTGAAGCCCTGCCAC